ATTCCAAACACATTTACTTCTTCTAATTTTCTTCGATACTCATCAAATTTTCTCTATATCTCTTCAATTTCTTAACTTTATACATCAATTGCTTAATTTTCTTCTATTGTCCGCCCATCTACAGCTTCCTCTTCTCCTCCGCCAAATGCAAATGTTGTGCCCTACAAACACAACACTTTTAATAATAAAAAAGTTGGGCACAATAGGGTGAGGTACAAGGAGTGCCTCGAGAACCATGCGTTAGCCATGTGAGGGACTACTATGAATGGTTGTTGCGAATTCATGCCCAATGGAGAATAGGGCACCATCGGAGCCCTCAAGGGCCTCAACTGCTCTGCCTGCAATTGCCACAAAAACTTCCGCATAAAAGAAGCTGAAGGTGAGTAGCAGCAGTAACTTTCCTCTTGGGATCATAATTTCCATCATACCATCAACATGGCAGTTGGAGTTGGGAGCAGGAAATTCTTATTAAATCATGGAAGAGGAGGAGGACATCACAAGAGTTTACTAGCACTATCCCAATACCCCCACCAACACCATATGATAATGTCTAACTACAACATGGGGATGCTAATGTTGGGGTCCATCCCTTCAGATCAGTCTGATAAGCAAGAAGATCATAATCATCGTTGTCATGGTGGCGGATCACATATTGACACAGGTGTATGGAAATTGCAGGCTTTGTTGATCTTCAACTTCATTTGCTTGAATCAATAGGACTTTGAGGTCCATTTGGATGTTCAACAATTGGATATTGAAATAGAGTTGAATTCTAAGAGATTTGAAGAGAGATGGACATTTGATTGGAAAAAGACTACCGACTGACAGTTTGAAAAAAAAAATCTTTCCTCATATTATTCTTCTCTGTAAGTGGTGGATCACGTATTGACAGAGGTGTAGGGCTTGCACGCGCTTTTGTTAGGTTTTTTTTTATTTTTTTTATTTCTCTTGAACTTATCATTAAATAAAGTTAGTGGATGATTTTTTATTAAAACTCAAAGTTTTGAAGCTTTTTTCATTAGTTTTTATTTTTTATTTTCTTAAAAGGGGACAACTAGTGGTAAACCACAGACATCCACCTTATTTTAGAGTCGGGAAGACTCACAAAGTTATTTCAGCATCTCTCTGACCACAGTCAAACAGACTCACCAGCTTGGAGCCTCGAACCTAAGACCTCATGTATCAATATTTGCTAGTTAATTTTTTTTTTAATTATCAACTGATGATTTTACTATGGTAGTTCACATTTTTGGAAGCCGAAAAAAACTCACAAAGGCATTTCAAGCTCTCCCTGACCACTATAATGTGATTCACCAACTTTAGGAATCGAACATAGAATGTGACGTGTGGAATACATGCTTGAAATTCATCTTTTTATTATTTTATTATTAATTTTTAAAATGGATTAGCTTACTGTTTACAGCTTAATGACTTGGAAAGAACCAGACAAAACATAGTACTCCCAAATGAGTTGACTTTACAAGTCACAAATCTCGATGATCTCTAACCTACACCATAAAGCTACCTAATATATTACTACTTTTTTTTTTTTTTTTGGAGAAAACAAATTCATTAAAGATAAAACACTACAACACAGAGGCCCAAAATTTACAACACAAAGGCCCAAGAACGAAAACACAAACAACCAACAGAGGCCCAACCAAAAGGTGAGCCCAAAACAAAACACACAGAAACAACCAGAACCGCCGCAACATCCGCCAACACCGCCGCTGCAACCACCAAAATAGCAGCCGGGCATGTCGATCCAGTCAAATTTGGTCCCCAAACAAAGCCACGTCTCACCGCCACCAGCATCCAAGTCCAAGCTTCACGTCCAGCACAGCGACAGACCCCGGAGAACCTGCAGCCAAGAGAAAGAAGCTCATGGCAGTCCACGAGCAACACTGCCAACAAGGGCAGACAACAGAGAGAAGGTGGGGGTGCAAGGATCACCCGACCTAGTGCCAGCACCAGATCAAAGCACACCAACTCGAAACGCCGCAACCAGGTGCGGTAAAGGGTGACGGAAGCTGGGAAAGAGGAGGCAGATGGAAGAGAAACAGCAGAGGGGAGCGAAAATGGCAGATCGGCCAAGAAATCCAGGGAAGAAAACAGCGGAGAGAAGAGGAAAAAGAGAGGGAGAAAGGAACAAACGAAAACCCACCGATCCCAGCCCGAGCTAGGATCGACGGCACCGGAAATGGACACAATCGGGAACCACTCACACAGAACGGTGAGATGAACCCTCACACAGAGGGAAGAAACACACTTTTATTTCTTTAAGCACCTTAATATATTACTACTTATGTAAATATAATCACATAAAGAAAATATTAAGATCGGTCGCTCGTGCAAATGTGATTTGATGAAAATTCATGTTTGCGAGATTTACAAAATCAGAAAATCAAGATGTGTCTGCATGCGTTAGTTACTGATTCTAGCACTCATCATCGACTGTAACAATGAAATCAACTACCCTTTTGTGGACCGATCACAAAAGTTTCAAATTAAGAACAAGAAACCCCAATAGGGGTGGGGTTTAGGACTGGTGTAGCTGAAGATTAGGAAACAATGACGGAGAGCCACAACATTGGAGACTTCTATCGAGAGGCTATAATTTAACCATGCATTCATGCCTTTAATGAACTCCACGGACTATCTAGGTAAGGTTGTGTGAGCTGACATATACCATCAACTTGCTCAACGAAAGTATTCGGTAAGGTTGTCTTACTACGTCAACATATATAAAGCATAGGAATCACGAGCTGGGACAATATAAAAAACTTAAGTATAGCAGTCTGGCCACACATAGCTAGTTAGGCCATCTCCAACCGAATGATTCAAAAGGTAAGAGGGCCAAAAATAGCCCAAAAATCGTCTCCAACCGGGCCTCGTGGGCCTCATAGAATCTAAAAGGGCCAAAGGGCTGGCTGAAATTTTTTGCTTGCTATCGGTTTTATTGTCAGTTATAACTGACAGAAATAAAGAAATAGTGTCGGTTATAACCCACACAAATAGCATGGAAATTTTTTAATCTAGCGGCTATTTGACAGAAATAGTGTCTGTTATAACCGACACAAATATGGAAAATTTTGAATATAACGGCTAGCTGACGTCAGCTAGCCATTATTTTTTATTTTTTGATTTTTTTTGTACAATTTTTTGTTTTTGTTTTTTGGGCCATTTTTTTTTCTATAAATAACCAAACCATTCATTAAATTAAGTTCTAATTTTTTTGGTTTTTTTGGGCCAGTTACCGTTGTAGTTTTTAAATTTAAGCTGTTGTTGGATTTGAATTTAAGTTGTTGTAGTTTTTAAATTTAAATAATAAATTATGTTTGACCCTATGACCCTTTGGTCCTCGGTTGGAGACGGTTTTTTATGACAGGGCTAAAACAAGCCCTATGGCCCTTTGGTCCTCAGTTGGAGACGGAGGCAAATACGGTCATGTATTGTTCATTAAAATATTAATATCTTGGAGGATCAGATGGCTAAAACGAGCCTCTTATGCAATTAACTGCAAACTGATAAATTGACGAGACAAAATCCAGGAAAGAGGGGAACCAAGAAAGCTCACATGTATGGGGTCCCAAGTCCAAGACCAGCAAATTCGAGCCATCCAAAAACTGGTGGTCAACCTTTCTCCTAAAGTACCCTACACCTAAAGCATCTCAATGTTCTTTGTTTTGCAGTCACACATTTTCTTTCATGATTTTCGTACGTCTCAAAACGTGACATGAATAACTTGTCTACACACACATTTTTATTTGTGCCCTTTTTAATTTTCGATTTTCAGATCAAATGAATTGAAAAAAAATTCATAGGAGTATTTGAAAGATAAAAAAAATGTGTGAATACTGAATAGCACTACCCAAAAAGAAAAGAGAAAGTGAAAACAACACTAACAAATGGAACATGGAAAAGGCAAACTTTATGTCCACTTTCCAGCATTTTGGTGCCTTTTGGTTTGAATTGAATGAAAAGTGAAGTGTAATAGCTCAATCCCACAGTTCATGAACAAAACTTATATGCAACTATAACGCTACAACACTGTTATAAAAATTTCTGCTTAAGGCTGCCTAGGTGCTAGGCGATTGGCTAACGTCCCGATTAATGCCTAGACGTTTGAAAATTAAGAAAATGCGCTTCGGTCTACTGAGGCGCCCGCATAGACTGCCTAGGCGGCCGCCTAAACTGCCTAGGCACCCACCTAGGTTGCGACTTACTTAGAAGAAAATAAATAAATAACTTTCATTTTGCATTTTAGTTTTTTAGTAAATTGTAAGAAATTTGTTGAATACTTAAATAAACACACATTATATGTTTGTTCCCCATGTTTTCATTATATTCCAATACTTCATAATATACATGTCCTATTTTGTAGTTTATGATGTAAGTACATATATTTTATGTAGAAACACTTATTTACACGAAATATAATAGATTTACTTAAATTTGCCTAGTCCGTCTATGCACTAGGCTCCAGCCCATTGCCCAACTAGCGTCTAACGGTTTTTAAAAGCTTGCACTACAATAGCGGCAACTCACATCATAAGCTGGCACATGCTAGGATATTACTACTAAGGTGTCGCAATTCATGTAAATTTCTCTCCAACCGCTTCTCGCATCCTCTATCATATTGTCGGTCTCCAGTAACTAAACTTTCCAAAGGGGCCGAGGCGGAGGCAGTAGTTGCAGGTAGACTGGAGGCTGCCATGGCCCCCAGCCTCCGTGTGGCTCTATGTAACTGGCTTACAAAATTCTAAACTTTCATATAGTTATACTAGAAATGGCTAACAAATGTGTTACTCGTCATGTTTACAATAATAACAAAACCTTTTCTCATTACGTGGGGTCGAGAAATGAACTCTCATGTTTACTTAACAAAAATGAACAATTGACAATAAAAAGCGAATCGAGAAATCCAAATCTGAGATTTTCCTGCAGGAGGAAATTATGGTATTTAAGTGGATATAAGAAGAAAAATACTACATCTTCAATTAAAACCACAAATGAAAAGAAAGTTTTTTCATTTAAATCCCCATGTTATTTCATTACATATTGGGATTATGCTACACAAACCTGAACTCTTCTAGTTCTCAATTTTACATGTAATTATATATTCAAGAACTCAGCAAACCATCTAACTCAAAATACGTACGTTGCAAATATTCATAGTAGCACTCACAGGGGGAAAATTAGTGGCTATTTCAGCTAAGGTAAGATGGCTCCCAGCTCCTAATTAAGAGAAAAGGCCGCAGAATCCTCCTGTCGTTTCCTCCATTGACGGCTTTGATGTTTTGGTTTTGTGGCCGACGATGGTTAATCAACAGGACTGCTGGGTGTAGAAAGGCGGTGTCATATTGTGTGGAGCAGTTGAACATTGCTGAACTGTTGGCACCAGTTGGAACAAACAAGAAGTGTATAATAAGCTACCGATTTTATGAGGTCTCCTGGAAATTGAGTGATCTAGACAATGCCGCTGGATTGGCATGTAAGACCTGAGAGGCATCAGAGAGGTGATTCTTTTGATCACCCTTTGACTGGAAGGCCTTGAAGAGTCCCCCGCTGCTAACTGAATCAGCCTTATCATGCTTAATCCCCAATGTTGCCCATATAGAGCTTTTTGCAGCTTCACCCGGGTCATCAATCCTCAAAGTTTTTGGAATCCAAAGATTTCTCTCAGCACTCTTTTCTCTTGGTGGCACTTCTTCCTCAGAGCTATTTTGTTTCACAGTGTTCTCTTCTCTCGAATGTTTCCCCAAGGTGGGAGAGTTGGGACCAGAACTTGAAGCACTGTTGTTTGAAGACAATGGAGGAGGAAGCCAAGGGATATTCCAAGCACCTTGCACAGCACAAGCCCAATAAGCTGCAGCAGGGTAGAAGGACATAGGATAACCTGGAGGGCAGAAAGCAGGTGGTGCAACAGGAGAGTTCCAAGGGTAAGGCCAAGGAGCCCCGGGAAAGCATGGTATTTGAGGTGGGAAGCCCTGAAAATTATGCATTACTTGCTCTTGTGATCCAAATTTGCACGCCTCGTCCTTTGAATTTGAATCTGTCACTGTTGATCCAGTCAAATGATCATCTCCAATTACTCCACCTCCATAAGAAGCTGGAGTCCTCAATCCTTCAGGTTTCTGAAATCCATTACGCGTACAGTTCTGTATATTTTTATCGGCCATATGAAGGACAGAAGCCATTGATTCGCAGAGGGGCGTATCCCTGCCAAATGTTAGGACAGTACCATTTGGTTGTACTGAAGGGTGGTGAACTCCATTGAGAACATTAGCTTGAGCATTCGGCACAGCTTCAGAGACAGTTATGTGACGATAGTGAGAAGCAGAATTCTTATTCTTCCGACGACCAGCACCCACAGGCACATTCCTCATTGTCCCACCAGCTGTCCAGTATCTCTGGCAGTTCTTGCAGAAGTGCCGGGGTTGGTTGACATTGTAATTGTTGTAGTAACAAAACTTGGTGTCCATACTATTACAGCGGGGGCATGGAAGTATTTTATCTGGTTTCTTCAGGGTCTTATCCTGCGAATTACTTGTCTCACTCTGTTCCTCTTCAGTCCTCTCAGTCTTTAGTGTGGCATTCTCCTTCTCAATAGGTGATTCACGGTTTACACCTATTCTGGATGCCGCATCTGGATTTGTTAACTCTTCCGAAGATAATGTTGGGATTCCATTTTCCCGTTTCGTTTGAATTGGTTTTTCCCCCAATGTGTCCTGAATTGATAAAAAATTAATTGAGAAGATGAGTTTCAAAACTGAGTATCGTTGAAATATAAACAAAACATTATCATTTATCCTTTATGTCCACTACGTTACTACAGGATACAAAAAAGGTATGAAACTTAACAATCTACTGCTGGCATGCTGAATCGACTGAAACAATTAGACTCCATATTACATGGCTGTGTTGAAAATCGAACTCCAATGCTTAAAAGTAAACACGACATGAAGGTTCCTGAGGACTTGCCTCTACATAAGATATGAAACCCCTCTTTCTTTTTGACACAATAGCCTCCTTCACCTTCATTACAAAGGAGTTTTAATCAATTTGGTTATGAGGGGTTAACGGCATCTTTACAGAAACATTCAGATTCGTAGTACTAAGCCACTATGTAATGAGTAAAATAGCATCAGATCATATGTCATCCGAGTAGCGCATTGGCCACACGAAAGTATTATAATTTATAAGCAAGCAGGCTAAAAGTAGAGATCAGTACTAGCTAACAGAAGTTTCGGCCTCCGAATGCATCATGGTAGAAGCAGCAAATGATTAGCTTGTTTGTAGAGCATTTTTCCAAATCTTTTCAACCCTCAAATGTAAAATAAGCAGAGTTTCAAAACACAACCTAACTCCAAACTGCCACAAATCATAAAGGGAATCCATTTAAGCAAAGTTCAGGTGAAATTTCAAAAGAAGACACAAATGAAAAACCCAGAAAGTGCAAACTAAACCCATTTGAAATAGCAAAATTCCAAATGAGGTTGAGCGCTAACATGAGAAAGTTGCTTGCTTGCTTGCTTGATTAATCACTAGCAGAAAAAGTACAATGACAACACAAAGTAAAACAAATTCTTTGAAAAATAACCAGCAATCTCCAAAACAATTAAAAAGCAATAATCTGATAAGCATGCCTCAAAGCAAACAAGATTATAACTTTGTACCTGATAAGATTTAAACCCCACCTTCGAACCCCAAAGAAGCAAAAACAAGCAAAAAATATGTTCAAAAATCAATTGAAATGAATCACCAAAAAAAAAAAAAAAAAAAAAAACCCTCAAAAGCAAAAACCAGAGCAGCATATCAAAAAGTCAACAAAAATCCGCCACAGAAAGCAACCCATGAATCCGTTCGAGCTTCCAAACAATGCTCAACACTAAAAATAGAAAATTTCGGACACCCAAATCCCCAAATTCCATTACCTTGTTGTCATTGACCTCTTTCTCTTCCCGGTCTCTGTGGGCATTGACTTCGGGCGAAGAGTTGGAGGAGGAGGAGGCGGCGCGGTCCTGATCGACAGTCTCTTCCGCCACAGTCCCGGACGACGGATCGGGTTCCGGAGCTCCGGTAACTCTGACCGAGTCGCTGCCGGAGCTCAGCACCGAAATCGTCTTCCCGAAAAGATTGATCGCTGGGTCCTTTGCTGCCTCCGACATGTTTGCTACGCTTTTCCGTTCTTTTCCTTTATCTTTTTCTCATCAAAAATTCGATTCGGAAAAAAAACTTAGAGAGAGAGAGAGAGAAAGTGTGTGCGTTTGTCGTCTATCTTCTCAGCTGTCTATGGAGGTGGTGTGCCACGTCATCGGGGAGGGGAATTCTGAGCCACAAGTTCAGTAGTGGTTTTTGAAAAAGAATTTTTATTTAGTTTTTTTTTTTTTTAATTGGGACAATTGACGGCAAGTCACAGTTATCCATTTATTTTGGGGGCCAAGAAGACTCACAAAGGCATTTCAGCTTCTCCTGGTCACAAGTTTGGCTTCCACACCAGCAACAAGTTTTGAACCCTAAACCTCCAATTTTTAATTTTAAGAAAATCTCGTAATCCGTCATTTACTACTGGACCACGAGATTTTCTGCTTTTTCTTTCTGTCTTTACCTTTTGCCCCATATCCATCTTACTAAACGCATTTTTTGGGTTTTGGTTGAATGGTCTTCAAAAGTTCGATCCAATTTCCCCCATTAAGTCTTCAAATCCTAGGCAACATCTTCTTTTTTTTGTCTATATTAAGCGTGGTATTTATTGAAAAGTCTCAAAACGAAAAAGACATTTTTAACTCTAGTTTCGGACCAGCTTTTCTCAATTATGTTTGGTTATTCACGTAGACCATAAAATATAATGATTTGTGATCATTTTTAAAGTAGTTGAGTCTACTATTCCATCAAATGAAATTGAGCATATATGATACACTTTGATCCAAAATGTCCAGGATCAAAATGTCCACCTGGACACTCGGATGGAGCTATGTTGACTTCGTCACCTTTTAAATGTCGAAAATCACAACTCGATTCGGGTGTTTGAGTGGACATTGTGGGTCAGGGTTCTAGGTGACGAAACCAATACAGCTCAATTCAAGTGCTCAAGTGAATATTTCAGGTCGGGGATGTCACATCCCGGCTCGGGCCCCTACCACATCTCAGGCTCGACTCTGCCGTAACACAATATTGTCCTCTTTGGACTTCGACCACCCCTCACGGTTTTGTTTATGGGAACTCACACGAGAACTTCCTAGTAGGTCACCCATCATCATGGGATTGCTCTCGCGCGAACTCGCTTAACTTCGAAGTTCCGATGAAACCTCTGAAGCCAGTGAGCTCCCAAAAGGCCTCGTGCTTGGTAGAGATGAGAATATACATATAAGACTTAGATGATCCACTTCCCTAGGCGATGTGGAATGTTACAATCCACCCTCATTAGGGGCCCGACATCCTCGTCGGCACACATCCGACCAGGGGTTGGCTCTAATACCAAATTGTCACATCCCGACCAGGGCCCCACCACATCCTGGGCTCAACTCCGCCGTAACATGATATTGTCCGCTTTGGGCCCCGACCACACCCTCACAGTTTTGTTTCTGGGAACTCACACGAGAACTTCCCAGTGGGTCACCTATCATGGGATTGACCTCATGCGAACTCGCTTAACTTTGAAGTTCCGATGGAACTCGAAGCTAGTGAGCTCCCAAAAGGCCTCATGCTAGGTAGAGATGAGAATATACATATAAGGCTTAGAGGATCCACTCCCCTGGACGATGTGGGATGTTACACGGGGTGTGTAAATATTTCTCATACCTTTTCAAGTTAGCTCATCAGCATTTGATCCCAATTTTATTTTTAATTATTTGATCCTAATTACTTCATTTATAAATGTATTGCAAATATATTGAAATAAAAACAAGTTAACAAGTTTTTGTTCTGCAGTTATATTAAATAAAATTTTGTTAAATGCAACATCTTTTGACTCTTCTTAGTAAGAGGGAATTGTTCAATTAAAAAAAGGGATATACATTTCTTTTAAATAAAAAAAAATATTAAACAGAATCAAATGTGGCACCAAATTGTACCTGAAATAGTATTTTAATTAAATATAGTTTGAAATGAAATTAAATATGAGTATGATTAGAACACCTATATTCCATATTTTTCCACATGATAAATTATATTCCAAATTCTAAATGAAATTTTACTCAGTTTTAAGGTCATTAAGGTCAAATGATAGCGTAAAGAACCTTTTTTTTTTCTTTTATAAGAAAAAGAAAAACGACTTTTGCCGAGTCTTTGCCTTGTAGTTGCATAGAAAACCAAGTCTATAAATTAATTGAATTATATATAAAAGGAGAAACAAATTTGGTGAAACATCATAACACCAAAAGCTCATCTATTCTTGCAACTTTTAAAAATAATGCTACATTGCAAGTGAACTTTTGCCACAGTGGTAGAAAAGTCTTGAGCCCTTACATGACGACGTGGGTTCAAATTCCGTTGATGGTTAATCTAACATTTAATCTAATAAAATATATTGTTTGACAAAAAAGAAAAAATAATGATGCATTAAATAAAGAAAAATTAGTGAACTAATAAAAAATAAAAACAAAAAAGATAAAATAAAAAAATATATTAAGCAGATATCTCTTTACTGCAATGATAAAAAGTAATCATGGCTATGCACCTAGGTGTGGGTTTGAGGACTTGGATTCTCTGCCCTCCCAATTCGGTGCCCTTCCCGTGCCCTCCTGTTTGTGTGGTCACAGTTAAGCCACGTCAATATTTTATATTACTATTTTTTTTTGTCTTATTATTTTTATAAAAAACAATATAAAATGTTAGCATGGATTAACCGTGACCACACAAAACAGAAGGGCACGGGGAGGGCACCGAAATGGGAGGGCAAAGAATCCAAGTCCGTGGGTTTGATCCATATCGAACCCCATACCTTTGAACAACTAACAACTCAGAGCATCTCCAATAGACATATCAAAAATAAATGTCAAATGTTAATTTGATGGCTGACGTGACAATGTCAAATTTTCTATTTTTCCAACCGATATGTTTTTTTTTTTGTTATAAATGGTATTTGTATGACCCATTTTAAAAAAGAAATCAATTAAAATAAATTTTCAAAAATGATCCTTGCCGAATCCTTTTCCAGGGGATCCGGGAGATCTCATGATCATGATCGATCGCTCATCGTACATCGTACATCGTGCGATCAATTTTCGTTATGTATATTTAATTTTAAATTTTAAATGATTTTTTATCGCACAATGTACGATCAACTGTCATGATCACGGGATCTCCCGAATCCCCAGGAAAAAGGATTTGGTGATGATCTTTTTCCTATAATTGGTGCATTAATGGGATTCACACAATAAAATATTTAAAAATTATTTGACGTTACCTTTTCTCATCTCAAATTTGACTTATGAAAACTCATATGTCAATCCACATGGGATTGACATATTGATATGAACTTGTTCCTACCTTCAAATTTAATTACAAGGTATTCCATTTAGGATTTGATATCTTATTTGAATATGATCTTAGACACTAACACTATCGTTTCAAAAAAAATATTTATAAAATAAAATAAAAAGTAAATTGTAACACATGTTCGCTAGTTTATTAATAAAAGCAATTTTAGACAGAAAAAAGAAGTTGATAAAGAGTGCCAAGTCAGACCGACGTTTTAGTGGGCCCCGCCTGAAAAGTAAAGTGAAAAGTCGCCAAACGCGAACCCCATGATTCAGGTCCACTCATTTCATCACACGTGTCAAGTGAGGTATACGTGTGAAGCCTCTCCTGGTTCTTGGGGCGAAACACCAAAAAGAATCCTGCTAACGGCTGTGATTTTGCCTTTCAAACACAGAAATCTCCTCTTGTGCTGACACGTGTACCAAAACCAGGAGCATATCTAGGCCTTTCCACGTGTGACTCGTAGCCGTCTGATTAGATGGAATATAAATTTTTTTATATTTATTTTCTATGTACTTTGTTTTATTGCTAACCACATGTTAATTTAATTTTTATTTTTATGAATGATTCGTCTGGCCGGAAATAGTATTTAAGGTTGTTTATTTATTTATTTTATGCTTTTATTTGTATCTTTTTTTAACTAAAAGGCATAAGTTTGGTTTTGAACCTTATCTTTCTTTCTTTTTTTATGGAATTGGACCAACTGATGGCTTTGTTATGATAATTTACTTTTAAAGAAGCCAATGATAGCAGGAATACATGTATTTGAAATGCATTTGAAAGAAACACCGTTTATGTGCTTTGTTGCATGAAGCATTTAAATGTTATATCTTTTTCATTATTCACTTGCATTTTTACTTTTGTTTCTAAATCACTTTTTTCAAAAGTGTTTCTAATCATATTAAAAACACTTCCAAACATTATTGAAAACTGAAAAAAAAAAGAAGCTAGGAATACGGGACAATGGATTGAAGTTCAAATTCAGTACGGATATCTGGTTCGAAATCAATTTGAGAAGAGGAATAAATTTGGGATAATGAAGGTGTGCATTGGGCTTTTATGTTGTAAAATTTGTTATTTGGGCTTTTTGTTGTAAATTTTGGGCATTGGGCTCAATGTCACTTATGTGTGTGTGTGTATATATATATATATATATATTTTATTTTTTTTAATTCAAATAATAGATTAGATGTTAGATTAGCCACTGACAAAATTTTAACTCATACTGTCATGGAAGAGCTCAACTCATTTCTACCACTATGGTAAAGGGCATTTGCAATGTCACCTTGTAGTTTGGTCCACTAATTTGGGCGATGCAAAAGGAATTAAATACCCATGAAATAGTATAGATTAGAGAAAAAATTTCACCTGGTTGAAGTTATTTCTAACATTAGGTTCTTGAAATTGGCATAACTCTTCACTTTGGTTATTGAGATTTAAAATCGATATAAATAGTCCCTAAGATTGTCTACTATCAATCATTTTGGTCATTTCGTGAAAAGTATCCGTTAAATTGAGGGTATTTTTGTCAAATCAACATTTCTCCTTGAACTGGTGGTTTATTCAATTTAACAGGTATTTTTCATAGAAGAACCAAAACAATTGACGGTAGACAATCTCAGGAACCACTTTTATCTATTTTAAATCTCAATAACCAAAGTCAAGAGTTATGATAATATCATAGATCATTTTAGCCACAAAAAACCACCCTTTAATTCAGAATATTGTAGTTGACTTGGTAACATGGCATTTCGTCAAGGTAAAGCACTCAAGAAAGTCAAGAAGCTCAAGGGCAACACGGCTACTGAAGGATATGATGCGTCCATTTGGTTGAAAATATGGCACTGCGTACTACTTAGTCTTCCACCCTTCCTTAGTGCTCATGCAACCCAAAAGTGTTTGGTTCTTTCCATATTACTTAAATTCCTCATTTCGTTATTGCTTCCTTTTGTTCTCACTTGTTTGGTCTATTTCTCTACAAAGAAAGGCATTTATTCATCCATGGAAACCTATTTAATTTCATACATGAACATTAGGATGTCTCAAAAATGCAAAAATAGAAAGCAATCTAACATGTTATATTGTCAAACCGACAATATTTCATTTTTGACATGAGGAGTTATGAATAGGGTAAGATGGATTTGATTCATAGTTTTTCAGGTATTGAATTATAAGTTCTAATGATAAACTCAAACTTTATTTATTTATTTCATGTCTCAATAAACAAAAGTCGAGAATTGGCACAATCAAATATCATATTTTAATAAACCGTGAAAGTTAAGAATATAAGAAACATTTTAATACACATTTCAGATAAATATGCATGTCATAATCATGAACTACCACGAGGTGATTTAGTAGTTGTGGATGAATTTTAAACTCGTATTTCACACGGGACGTTTGGGATTTCATATACGGCGCTAGTGAATCACACAATGATGACCATATAGTGAAATGCCTTTGCGAAGGGCTGGACTGCCGTGATAAAGCCACAAACCGATCATTTTTAAGGAAAAAAATGTCATAATCATGACAACAATTTATACAATTGAACTTTATGTCGCCAATCCCCCTAGACCTAAGAAATGTGGACTGTCGTGGTGCAACCATGACCTTATGTTACATTTGACCAGTCTTTCTGACTTTTAAAAATGTGGGATGTCATGGTAAAACACCAACTAATCTATTTTTGTTATTTTTTTAAAAAAATGTCATAATCATGACGATTACATAATTAAACTTTATACGTTTGGCCTCTCAAACATAAAATTCCGACTCCACTATCGATTAAGATGACTAATTCCACAAAGAACATATCACCAGAGTTGGTTTCTTTTCCATCAATTCCTCATTAGGGTGACCTGGTCACCATCTTGACCCAAAAAAAAGTTAAAAAGAAATAAAAATAAAATCACTTTTAATTCTTAAATATTCCAAATTATGCAAAAGTAGGCCAAGCCCAATGAACTACCCCACAAATCATGCACGCATCATTGTGCGGCAGCGGCAAAAGATGGAAAAGCCCATCTCCGACGCAGCCCACGTAATCCTCACAACGTGTCGCTCGGGATTTTCCATTGCGTGTATAAACGCACCACAGAGAGAGAGAGAGAGAGAGAGAGAGAGGCATCGATGGTTTTACTAGTTCATTGCGGAAGAAGAAGAAAAATGTGATAAAAAAAGCTCCCAGTAAATGCTTCTTTGTTGTCCGCTCTGCTTCCTCTGCTTTTCGAGCCGGCCAATCGCATCCCAACCCAATTCTTACTTTTCCAATTCTCTCGATTTGTTTTTTGTTTTTCTGTATTGATCTCTCAAGTTCTTAGCTGTGAATTGGATTGAGGGGTTTGAGAGGTCGAAACAGGATTGATTGGTTTTGATTTGGATTCGGGGCACCGACGAGTGGTTCAATCGGATCGTCAGGTGCAAATCGGATTTGGGTCGATCTTATTTTTCGGTATATGTTGGTGGGTTTTGAATTTTGATCCGATTTTGTTGATTGGATTGGAAATCAAAATTCTGGGTTCGATTTGAAATGGTATATTTCCATAGCTCAATCTCGGTCTGCAACTCCGTTGACCAACCAAACGCTCCCATGGCGGATTCAATGAGTTTAACCGACCCAAGTGCCAAATCTAAGCAAACCAACCATGTTCAAGGAAGAAGAAAGATACCCAATTCCCCCAATTGCTCAAAGACTCCTTCTTGCGATCGATCTCGATCGGCTTTGATCGATGTCGTGTTATTCATTGCGGTGGTTTGCGCTTTTGGATATTTGCTACTGCCGTATGTGAAGTTTGTATCTGTTAAGACAATTGAAATTGTGCGAATAATCATGTATGTGCTGAGGGAGGAGGTTTCGAATGCTCCGTTGGTGTACGGATGCATGGGACTTAGCCTCTGCTGTGCGGCATTGGCCGCTTGGGCTCTGCTGGCCTGCACCAGCAGGAAATGTGGGAATCCCAATTGCAAGGGCCTCCGAAAGGCTGCTGAATTCGACATTCAGCTGGAGACGGAGGACTGTGTGAAGAATTCGGCTTCGGTGGCTAAGGACGGAGTGAAGAAGGGCCTTTTTGAATTGCCCCGCGATCACCACCGCGAATTGGAGGCCGAGCTTAAGAAGATGGCGCCACCTAATGGGAGAGCAGTGCTTTTTGTTTCGGGGCTAGGTGCGGGTGTTCTGTTGGTAGATTGGAAGTTCCGGGACCGAAGAAGCTTAAAAAGATCAAGAAGTAGGATTATGATGAGGACATGAGTAGTCATAATGCAGAGAAGAAGAGTGCCGTTCTGTAAGCCGTCTTCTCGGAACACAGTGTTGTTTTTAAATAAGCTTAGCTCATGGAATAAGTTGTAAGGATTATATACCCTTGGTTATAGCAGGGAATATATAACAATCCCGTATTTAATTTCATTTCCTTTTGGTTATATGTTTTGTCTAAAGTTTTTGAATTTGAAATTTAAATTTGGTTATCCATTGATGCAGTTCTGTTGTTCTTTTTCTTTTCGTTTATAGAATATGATTCTTCTGTGAGTTAAGATTGTCTTGAAATGGTTTCTCTGCATTTGCACAATAGTAATGTTTATCGATTTGCTCAGAGGTAGCGGAATTATACTTCCGTTGCAGAGAAGCGGTCTCTGATTCCGCAGTTACAAGTTTTTGTTGAAGTTTGCAGCTTACTTGGCTGTGTAAACTTATAAAAGCAGGAAACTTTTCATTCATATCATGCCAGGTGACAGTAATCTTGAAAACCTGGCTTAGAAAGCAGCGGTTCTGGTTCGATGAGTGGAAACTGATGAGGTAAACTCAATGCAATTCCCCGAAGGAACTAGCATTTGATTGTGACTGTATTGTGGTTGTGATATGCTTTGTCTGTCTACTCATGTTTGCACCACACTGCATAATTTGCTTGGCTGCTTTGCTTTATCTTAGTAATTTATTCTGCTTTAGGTTAGCTTTAAGCTTTATCATAAAGAAATCGGTCTGATAGGATAGCTAGTGCATGCACGCATGAAGGTTCCTAGTGAAATATTAGATCCATTCTTCATTCATCTGCGATTGCACTGTATTGTATGCTCCCTCGTCGATAAATTATGTTTCAAGATCCTTATCAGAAGAGGATTGAGGCGTTCTCATTCTGCTTAGAGTAGTAGAGAGTTTCGGGTTTGAAAATCCTCGGATGTCATGGTTTAGGTTGGAAAGAAATACTGGTAAAGATCATTTGGTTGTGATGGTGCAATTGCTGCTCTACCGGTTCACCTGCACGCGTGGGTGGCTGGCGGTACCTGGGTTCTAGAGCGGACTGTGCGTATGCATTCGAAGATATTTGACATGTAAGGTTCAGAATGCTTTGTAGTTAGATTACTAGTGAACTTTGTTGTTTGCTTTGATGGAATGAGCACAAGACGATGAACTTAGTCCACCTTTAATCCTTGGGAGTGACCAATTGGTCATTTACTATAGTGGTGGAAATGAGTTGAGTTCTTTGCGTGGTGATGTAGGTTTGAACTCCGTTTGGACTAATTTTAACAAAATCTTACGTTTCACTAAAAAAAAATCCTTGGGAGTGAGAAAGATGAAGGGACATGTTGGGCATAAGGAAGTTTCCTATGCTTTGATGCAATCATGAAACGGTGGTGTTATTTCATTTTTTTGGTGAAATTCACTTTTGTGTTTTATTTTCCAAGAATAAAAGGGTGAGGAAAAAGCTTCCTATCACTCTTTTTGGTTTCAATGTATGGTGGCTAAAAGTGGCACAGCAATGAACACTTCTGCATTTGAGGTGACATAGTAACAATATTTTAAATTAATCGTTAAGCCCATGATAGTAGTATTTTAAATCACAGTCTATTTTAACGGTATTTCAAATTACTGTTCACGGTAACGGTATTTCAAATTGATTACAATCGAGCGGGAAAGTTTAGGCTTGTAACATTGTGTGGTCGACTTGGAAAGTATAAAACACATTTCCCATTCTAATCACAAATATAATAAATATTTATATGGTCGATACGTCTACGTATGTCTCTAATTGAAATTGTTTGTATTTTCCATATATGTCATTTTTTCTATAAGAGCAATACTAAAGGAGATAAACTTTGAACACAAGATCTCAAGTGCTTAATTTTTCATCATGTTTTTTAGGACTTACTTGTAGTAAATCTTGACATATATTTAACCGTTGTATTTGATCTAACGATTTAAATTAAGTGATCAAGGACGGTTGGCACTTAAAAAAATCGTTACTCCATGTGAGATACAAAACCATATTCATTAATTGAGAAACCAAACCCGCACCCTTCTTTTACAAAATCATCAATTAAATAAATTAAAGAAAAAAAAAATTAAATTAAAAATAAAATACAAAAAGCGCACCGTTTTGGTTTACTCTCTAGTTTCTACCTCCAGAGTATGGCTGACATTTTGAACCTGACCTGACCCGACCCGACCCGTTAAAACTAGTATTTGGGTGAGTGCTTAACCAGTTGGGTTGTTAACGGGTCAACTCGTTAGTCACCCATTAAGTAACGGGTCATTTTGGGTCATCCCGCGAAACCTGTTAGCACCCGTTAACACCCGTTAAGAAGGACTTTTGTGTAATTTTATAGTTGGAATAGAAAACCTAGCTCTCTCTGTTATCTCATGTTCGAACCCGACTGAGTGGCGCCGTTCTCTCCCTCATCTTCTTTCTTAAAGTTGGCTGCCGTTCACTAAGTTCTGCCACCCTCTCTCCGGTAAGTTCCGATTCCCTTTCAACTCTTCTTCCATGGCAATTAATTTTCGTTTTTGCATATTATATTTTTCGTCTTTCTCAGTTTTTGCTTGAGCTTGGTTTGAGGTGGTACTCTTCATATGAGCTTCGAATTAATTTGGAATTAGTTGATTTGTGTTTAATGATTTCGATTGTGCTTTTGTTGTGCAAATGGTGCTTTCTGTGTGTGATTGTGCTTTTGTTCTCTTCCTTCGCAAGTTAGATAGAGAGAGATCTTCCCACTTCTCCATCCCATCACACACTCGATTCATACACACACTCATACATACGTTATTCTTCTATCATGGGTTTGATGGTGATTGAGGAGGAGAAGCAAGCGGCGGCCAAGCCCTTCGACGAATTGGGTTTTGATTAAAATACGTGTTCTGTTTTCGCATTGGAAAAAAGGTCATTGCTTTTCTCCTTTGCTTTCCCTTTTTAGTTCCTTTGTTTATTGCTTATTGTTTAGAAAAAGTAAGGAAACCTCATTTTGCAGCCTACGATTTCTTTTGCCTTTTGCCTTTTATGGGTCCTTTGTTGTTCACAAAATCAAGAACTGGTGGTGGAGATAGAGAGGGAATTTAAGAGAGAGATGCTCTTCTTGTTACTTATAAATTAGAAAGTGAATGATTGATTTAGACCTACAAGCAAAAGGGGCATTCGAGTTCACAAAGTGGACTTTGTGAGAGATATTTGCTTCTACCTTTTGGTCATTGTATGTTTGGGTGTTATCTTGATTCACAAGGAAATAGATGTGTGGGCTGCAATGGCTTTCTCTTCGCTCTATATTGCTTATGCGATTGTGGTTTACATCTCACACAAGCATCGGAAGAAAAGTGTAGAATTGAGCTGTAATTCGAGCAATGAAAGTGACTTGACTGTGCCAATTCTTAGTAGAGGAAGGAGCTGCACAAGGCAGTTCTAAAGTAGTAGAAGTCAAGAAATGCTGCTCTAATCTTAGATTATCGGTTTTTTTTTACGCCGACTGATTTTCATACTTGAGCTGCCGTTTTATCTGCCTAGGAGATTGACTATTCCTATTGTTTGTGAAGCAAGATGGTATAAGCCATATGTAGTTGCTTCAGTGACACTAGCACCAGTGCTTTTGTCAACACTTTGGAACCATCAATTTGGAAATTTTAGCTTCAAGACAAAACTTGCAATCTATATTATCGGTTTGATTTTTGGAATTACTTTTGGGATGAGAAGTCAAGCCTACCAAAAAAGTGCTTATTTCCTTGGCTTGCTGCATGGTTTGTAATGAGTGTTACTTGGAGTTATCTTACAGCTCAAGAATAGGTAGGGTTGTTAATTTCAAAGTCATGTCTGCTCGAAACTTCGCCCTTACTTCCAAGCACACTCCATCATCGTGCTTACCAATCATCATCTTGGACAGATACTCCAAAGTCCTGACACTTCCGGGAAAATGATCAAATGGGCGATATCATTGGGTGAGTTTGACATCTCCTACCAACCAAAGCCAGCTGAGAAGGGCCAAGCAGTGGCAGACTTCATCGTCGACTTCACATATCCTGTTGACATTGTTTATATGCCTAAAGAAGTGGTTTCATTACCCTCAGAAGCTCAGAAAATAGAACCAACAGCCCCAACATGAAGTCTATATGTTGATGGCTCGTCTAACCAATAGGGTTGTGGAGTAGGACTAGTCCTTATGACCCCTGACAAAGTGACGATGGAGTATGCTATTCGTTTCAAATTCAAGGCGTCGAATAATGAGGCCGAATATGAAGCCCTCCTAGCAGGCTTACGTTTGGCCAAATACCTTGGGGTTAAACGAATTTATATCTTTAGTGACTCCCAATTGGTGGTTAACCAGGTCATCAACAACTTTGACGTTAAGGATAGCTCCATGGCAGCATATCTGGCACAAACACAATTGTTGCTCAAGCACTTCCACTGCTAAATTACCCAAATTCCTCGAGCGACAAACAGTCATGCAGATGCTTTAGCTTGCCTCGCCTCAGTGGTGGAAGACAAGATTGGGAGAAAAATTCAGGTCGAATTGTTGGCAGCACCAAGCACCATGGCTGCGGAAGTGTGTAACTTACAATAAGGAGATAGTTGGATTACCCTGATTTATAGATTCCTTGCTCATGACACCCTTCCAAATGACAAAGTCCAAGTTAAGCAGATTCGATACAAGGCTACCCGTTACTTGATTATTAATGACCAAACTCTACAAGCGGGGTTTTAACCTACCATACCTAAGATGCCTTACGCCCGTAGAGACGGAAACTGTCATTTGGGAAATACATAAAGGAGTTTACGGAGATCATGCTGGATCTCGATCCCTAGCACACAAGGCTTTTCGCCAAGGATATTTACTGGCAACACTCCATTAAGATGCCATCAAAATATCCACTCATGTGATAAGTGTCAATGCTACGCAACTATTCCTCACTCCCTTCTCGAGCCGCTCACTCCTATGATCAGCCTTTGGCCCTTCGCCTAATGGGGACTTGATTTGATCGGCCCAATGCCTGCAGGGAAGGGCAAGGTTTGCTATGCAATCATTGCAGTTGACTACTTCACAAAGTGGGCCGAAGTAAAACCTTTGACAACCATTTACTGAGGCATAAATAGAAGACTTCGTATGGAAGAACATCCTTTGCAGATTCGGCATTCCCAATGCGATAGTCACTGACAATGGGCGACAAATTCGACAACAATAAGTTCAGGATGTTCGGCTCTAAGTTCAACATCAACTTATGT